AGACGCTTTTTCCCCTTACACCTGTGTTGTCAAAACTGGCCCTCATAAAGATGAGTGTACTCCACCTCCCAAAATTCCCCAGCCAGCGTGGGGGGCTGGGGAATTCTGGAAGTTGAAGTCCACTCATCTTAAAGTGGCCAAGTTTGGACAACACTGCTGTAAGAGAAAGAGCCTCTTCAGTGGTGGCCCCCAGCTGTAGAACGATCTGCCCAGAGAAGCTGCTCTGCATCCATTTTGGTCTCATTTCAGCACTAGGTAAAAAATGTTTGAAAGCCCTCCTAATCCGTATGAATATCAAAAACATCTCCGTAACTATTCTAAACATTTCTTCTTGTTTTTATTATTATTGATTTTTTAAAAAAAAAATCTTCTGTTCAGCCTGCCTATAAATAACCAGAAGCATGGAAAGGGCACAGAGCTTTTAAAGACAACCTATAGCTTTCCTCTGGACTGACAGGAACACAGAGTTCCTGTTCAGAGGACATGGTCTGTGCTAATGGTGCTGATACTCTCTCTGCTATAAGACTGCAATGGCCCTGAGGGTGTAAGAACAGTTTTATCATCTTCCTGAATGTATTCTGCCAAGACGGAAAGTATATTCAAATAAAACGGCTCTTGTCCTCCTCCCTCCAAATGTAAAATGAATTATTGAAACCGGGTGGCTCCTTGAAAGGTACATAGGTCTTACATACAGCAGCCTCTTCCCAGCTTAGTGCTCCCCCCCCCCCGTTTGGATTTCAATCACCATAATTCCCCACGAACATGTCTGGATTTCACAAATCCAACCACATTGTGGAGGGAGGGGGTACTAGTTTAGCAGCGTGGAGGAAATCTGGTTGAACTATCACACAACCAAGAGATATATTGGCGGAGGGTTCTTGATCTGGACGGTTGAAAAATGCAATCAATGCAAAAGACATCATCATAAATCCAAAACTCACACATTTAAAGGATTGAGCCTATCTTGCTTTAGAACAATCTGACTCACTTTTCTTGCTGGTGTGATTGCATGATATGCACAAGTCACCACAAAGACGCGGTAACCGCACAGGGATCCTACATCAGGGAAACAGCTTCAACTACCTCCCCCGCAACCCTTATTGCAGAATTGAAGCAAGGCACCGTTTTGGTTTGACAGACAGCAAGCAACCAAATCCACCTGCGTTTCGGGTAAACAAATCAAGGGGAAAGCAGCAAAAGAGGGAAGATCAACTACTGCAAGCGCGAGGAGGGCAGCCTTCCGCTACCTCCCGCCCTCGCTGGCTGGAAAGCAGGCTAGCGGTGCCCGCTCGCTCACCAGTTTCCAGGAAAAGAATGCAAACTACAACAGAGGAAGGGCGATCTGCATTGCAAGCGGGGGGGGGAGGAAGGGGGGTGTAATGTCTCTGTCCTTGGCAGATGGTCTTACCCAGTGTGCATTGTTCCTTTAGTGTCTCCTTTATCCACTGTAATTGGATCCTGGAGGGAGCCAGCGAGCAAGGGAGGGACGGAGGGAGGCTGGGCGAGACCGCTGGGGGCGGAGGGGAGGCAAAATAGTCCCGAGGCTTTGGCCTGCGCCTCCCTCGCCTGTCAAGCGCTTGATTTCATTGTTCCAGGCTGATGTCACTCCCAGTTGTTACAGACGCTTCTCCGGGTAACAATGTGGGACTAGGAGGCACAAAAGACCTTTCTGGAGATACCCCAAAGGTAAGAGGGAGAGAGAAGTCTCTGCGTCGGATCCATCCACCAACTTCGGGGGAGTTGGGGATGCTAAAGGACCCGGGCGCCGAGGGGGAGCGAGCCCGGAGCAGCATGCGCACCCCCGGCACGATCGCCTCCAAAGCAACTTTTGCAGCTGCAGGAGTCGCTCGCTCGCCTGCCCGCCGCTGCATGCAAGACGCGCGGCTCACGGGAAAGTGCGCGGCTCGGCCGGCGGGAATTCTAGGGAAGGGGAAGAAAAAAGTTTGGCCTTCCATTTGCCTGAGCCATGTGTTTCCGCGCTAGTTTGGAAAGGAGTTGGAAGCTTTTCTTCAGGGAGCGGTCAGGACGGGGTATGGTGGTGCGGCAGCTGACCGCGCAGGGACCAACGGCACTGGGGACGGGTGGACTAGTTGCTGATGCCCAGTTTTCCCACGCGCGCACACACCGCGACGCGCCATCCCACGCCACACTCTTAGCCCTTCTATCCTTGCAGTGTTCAGATCCAGCGCGTCCCAAAATCCGATGCCTGGGAAGACCGCTTTTCCCCCGAACCCACCGATTAGTAAATCCAGTGGCATGATCTGGCGCAGCGTCTTTGCAGAACTTTGGCACGTGTGACCGGTCGCACGGACTTCTCACGTTCTCGGAGGCAAGAAAAAGTGTTGAGTTGTTGAGGCGGGTTGGAGTCCAAGTAAGAAAGGGGCTATGATCTCTCGCCGAAATCCGGCGACCCCTCCTTGATCTTCCTTAATTCCCAGCTCTGGACTATGTACTAAACCTCGCTGTCGCTCTGGGATCCTTCATCCTTCGGATGCCACTCTGTTCGCAGCTGACCCGCCTGCTCTTTCCATTCGTTTTCCTCCTGGATGATCCCCTCAAACGCAGGCTTTTCTGGTTTAAAATCTTCAGCCAGCGAGCTCTTCTGATTTTATTAGCTTCCTCTCCTGCTTGGTCTGCCTGGTCCTCCTTTCTTTCACTGGCCAAGTTCACCCGCACAGATGAGTTGTTAGCACCTTTCAACTAACTTGTCCGCTATGCCCTTCTCCATACCCTGTGGTTGCTTACACCTGCCCGCTGCCCCCCCTCCAATTCCTATATTTGTACCCTGTTCATCTTCTTGTCCTGAGCTTGGAACTGGCATGGCCTATTTCTGTGCTCAGATTGCTATTGCGGTGAAGCCCTTGGGGACAGCTTGGGTGATGAATCTCTACCCAGCTCATTCCATTTGTCACACAGCCTCTGTTTCCAGCACCTGCCCCCCCCCCCGCACCCTTGCACAAGATTGCATTTGTTCTGTACACATCCTTTTGTTCCCTTCCACTCCTCTCTCGCCAGCCCTCTCCCAGTCATTTCTCACCCTCTTTATTAAGAGAGGCGGGGGGAGCACCAAGTATGATAACCAAAAAGAAGGGTGATGATGGTACTGGCATGTCAAGGGAGGGGAACGTTGTTTCCGCCAGCCTTGTGTTAGCATGATGTCGAGAAGGACAGACTTCATTTTCTGGCTGCATAGAACTCTTTTCAGCAGCATGTGACATTCTTTTCACCTGGTGCCCTCCAGCTATGTTGACACTGCAACTCCCACAGTTCTCAGCCATGCTGGAGAGGGCCACTGATGGCCCATTGTGTCACATGGACCACAATACAAAATGGCCCACTGTGTCACATGACCACGCTAGGGCATTCTGTGGAGATAAATTAGATTTGTCTCCCCAAAGCTGTCTGACCATTATTGTGGAGGAGGCTCTGGTATCAGGTCCTAAACACATTTACTTAAAAATAAGTCCCAGATAGTCTTAATTCCAAGCAAATGTGTTTAAAATCAGAGACGTCAGCTCTACCCAAGGTGGTACCTCCAGATTTGTTAGAACTACCAACAGCCTGAATGTCTAGCCAAAGCAGCAGATCTGGAGGGCACAATCTTGGGAAAGGCTGGAGAAGCCAATTTCTTACAGAAGCCCAGAGTTAAAGTGAGCTTTTGCTTACTGTAATGTCATTTTCTCCTAAAAGGCAGAAGCACAAGAAGGGCCAGGGGTGGGAAGAATTCTTACATGTTTTCTTTCATGTTGGAAAAGTGAAAGCATACAATTGTGATCTTGCCAGCTCCAGGTACAAAGGCCTGACCTTATTCACATCCAGAATTTTTCTCCCCAGTCAGGGATGTGCAACTTCTGTCAGCTGAAGGGCCGGACCACGCTTTTATGCAGCTTGTCAAGAGCCACGCTCCAAAAAAAGGCTGGGTCGGAGCCCATTTTGAGTGCAAGATCAGGAGTTTTAACACATGAAATAGGCTCCTTGAATATCTGCAAGGCTTAAGACACCCTTAATCTTTCCCCTAAAAACAAAAAAGGGTCACAGGTCTTTGGCTCCAACTTCTCAGGGGCGCTGATGGTTACAAAAAGATGCTGGAGGGCCACGCACAGCTCTGGGCTGTACCTTTTACAGAATTGTCCAACCATTTTTGTCTTATTTTAAAGCAATCATTGACCTCATTAAATAAGTAAATAAGAACCTTGTCTCTTAGGGATGCGTCTTCCTCCTCCCTCCACCCTTCTGATAATAATCTGTTTCATGTGACCAGCTAACTCATCCATAAGGGCTTCTGTTTGGGAATTCTGCAGGGCACCCTCTACAGTAAAAGCCCTGTTCTAGTGGATTTTTCATCCTCCTCTGGTGCTTTTACAGCCTTGATTAAATTATCCCAATTCCCCTTTCTCCTCAAACATTTGCCTCTTTGTCTTGTTAAGATCCACACATCCTCCACCCTTCCCTGTCCATGCAGTTTGGGAACTGCACATCAATATTCAGAGCAGCAATGAGGTCATTTTTCCAAGGGCTTCTCCTCTCCTCCTCTTCACTATTCAGGAAACACACCAGGAATTGTTCTTGTGCTCCAGTAAGAGATCCCTCTCATGTGAAAGCTGGGGGTGAGTGGGGGAAGATTAATGAGAAAGCTGCCCACATAAGCAAGCTTCCATTGGCAGCTTATTAAAACTATGTTATTCTTTGTGCTCTCCAGCTGCATTGGTAGGAAAAGGAAAGAGAGTTCTTACTTGGAGTAGCTTTGTAAAAAGCTAAGACACAATCAGTCATATGGGCATTTCAAGAAAGTATCGGTGTTCAGGCATTATTAGGAAGATAAAGTAAAATCACTGAGTGATTAGGATTTATCATTTTTAATTGCTTTACGGTGTGATTAGGATCAGTCCCAAAGATCCTTTCTCACCACTGCAGCATATCCCACTATTGTCATCAGGTGATAAAAATAAGTTCTGCTAATAGCAATTTCAAACTGGTGAGGTACTCCTTTTAAAGAGTCCTCTTCTGAATTTTTTCCAGCGGACCTATTCATATTTGATTCTTTCTACTGGGTGGAAAGAATCAAAGGCAGCTACTCTTTAAAATAAGAAACAGTTGGAAAGGATTGGATGTGGGAAATTGTTAGTCTAGCTTCATTACAACAAAATCAACATTAACTTTTAGCAGAGTTAGTGTTGGTTTTGTTATGATGAAGCTAGACTAACGGTTCCACCTCTGTGTTTCATTTCTGTCTATTCCAAAGAAGGTTCTTACAATTAGTAAATTAAAGATACTCTAAAGAAGTATCAGGATGAGCTCAAGAAGGACAACACTGATGATGTCATGCAACTGGGAGGAATTGAGTTTTCTCAGGGGAACAGAATGAGACAATAAATCAGATTGCAGATAATCAAGGTCAGGAATGAGAAATGATGCAGAGCCCTCTTTACCACAAAGCAAAGTGAAACACTTGTCTCAGATATCAAATTGTTAAAGGAGCCCCATTTTCTTTTTCCAGCATCCGTTCCCATATATCAGGGAACTCCAGAGACTGTAGGCATTGTTTTGATTGGTACTTTTAGGTTTAAAAATGTCTAAAGCAAACATTCATAATTTGTCAATACACGCTTTCAGAGGGAGCTTTTTTAAAAAACAGCAATTTTATTTGAAAGCTTTTCTTGCATGAATGTTTATGGGTTTAGGTTTGACTACAGTATTTCAGACCAGACTGTAACAGGCCTTTGGAATAATGCCTGTGGGTCTTACTAGGCCTGGGCCCAAGTTTCTTCAGCCTGAATCCATTTTGTGGAGCCTGAATGTCCAGTGGTGCCAGGAGAAGGGTTATAAATGCACTGCGAGGGTGATTTTCTGAGATGCTGGTAAGAAGAGAAATTTCCTAGTGGTACAGACATGGTGAAACCTTTTGCACTTTTTTTTTTTTTTTGCGCATACTGAAAGAGATGATGCCTGAGGTCTAATTTTTTGAGAACAAAAGATGGCAGATCTATTCACCATGAAATTCTGTATGTGCAAATTATACACCCAGCACAAAAAGTAGAAACCAATCTTGTCAGTCTTGGAAAAGGATGGGAATAGTGCCAGGAGCCTGCTACTGAATGCTACAAAAGCTTGTATGAAATTAAAAATGGCCCAGGAGTCCTGTGGGAATGTAAGGATTAAGTAATATATTTATCATCTTATAAGCTGTCTTGGAGCTTGCACTTAGTACACAGATTCATGAATGCGCAAATATCAAGAGGTGAATAATATGATACACATAATAATAAGGAGCATTTGTGTATGACATTTCACATGTACTGAGTACTTCAAGTATAGTAATGTAGCCTGGCAATATTATTACTGTCCTACTCAGTTGCTGTGTATGGTCCAATGCGCAGCCCTGTTTCCTTAGCTCAGAGTATACACAGCTTTTCATCAAAGTGGGGGGGGGAAGGTGATAACCGAGAGGTGGCTTGATGATGTGTGCTAGATGGGCTTGATAGCAGGTTGCATGTACTTTTCCATCCTGGGGCTGTGATGTCATTCAGGATGGGATTTGGGGGCAGAACGGCAAGCCAAAGGGCCCCCAAACATAGTGTTAGTTTATTCCGGTTTAAGATAGAGATTACTGTCTGAAGCCCAATGCCAAAATTACAGCTGCACCATCGTCTCAGGGTACACCCTGCAGCAGCCAGGAGGGCTTCTTGGATTGGTAAAGTATGTTACAAGCCAGTTGCTGGAAAATGGGCTAGGCTATGGAGCATTTTCTTTGTAAAGCCATAAACTAGTAAGTTTAACTTTAAAACTGTGTAGGCGACAGCTCTACAGCTCTAGGAGAAGAGACTAGTGTAAGATTTGCTGGATCCTTGATCCTTTTCTTTGAGGGAGATAATTTGACGTTGGACTCTCCCTCCTATCTGCCAAAGGTTGGCTTTTTCTAAGATCAGGAATCCCATCTTCAGCCACAAAAGAGAACATGCAGGACAGGCAGGCTAAGGATCAGCTAAATCCAAAGTCTCCCTGTCACCTCATCCCAGAGACCCCAAAAATAAAAAGAGGTTCAAGATTTAACAAAAGGAAAAAAATCTCTAAAGTGGAATAGTGAATTCTGAATTCTCACTTCCATCCTGCTGATTTGCAGTTGGAACATATTCACTCTCAGATATTCTAACAAGAGCTTGATTTGCTCACGTGTGAAATAATTTCATTAAATAATGTTTTATTACTTAAGAATTACGTATAATGAAAAAAAGTGTATCCACAAATTAGAATGTAGCCAAGGAAATATTGTAATCCTGGCTAATAGGAAAAAAAGACTTTAGTTTTTTACAAGAAAGGGAGGTACAAAAA